AGTTTCAATTATACAAGAGTTATCACCTCCAATTAACAACACAGATATAAAAACACTGAACAACATAACAACTATAACAATTAACAACAATTAGTTGCTTAGTGGATCAAAATAAAATACAACAAAAATTTTGTATCCATAGATACAACACACTTTTAAGGCCCGATTTCACCAAACTTTTAAACCGCCGTTAAGCGTTGCTCTAACTGCAGTTAGCTCTTAACTGACGAAATCGGATTTCACCACTCGCCGTTAGCGCTAGTTTAGACTAAACCGTCGTTAGATAATTAACTGCCCAATTTTGACCAGTTAGCTTCTTTAATCTTTCGTTAAGTAAATATCAGCTGGCTTTAAGTTTAAAATTTATATGGAAAGGCGAAATGGTAGAAGAGAATACGGTACGAATTAGCTTTTGAAAGTAAGTGATGGCAATGAAGAGTAGCCTATGTTGTTCTACCAACTAGGTGGATAAGAGAAAGGGTTAATGATTTAAATAACAAAGATGAAATTGATTTTATTATTAGATATGAGCTATCAAAACGTTTAGCTTTTTTTTAGGGAATGAATACAAACCACTGTAGTTTGTGTTTAGGCTATCCCACATAGTGCATTGCTTTAGGTTATCCCACAAGGTTTTTAGTTAAGGCGTATATCTGTGATCAGCGACCGCATTGAACCACAGTCTAACAATAAATAATTTATACAGACTTTATTTATATTAGACTGTGATTGAACTGATTGGCGATCAAGAGCCGTACTCTTTTATCCCGGCTCTTCTACCAACATTATGAAATTTATTATTTCATTGTTCGAAAAAATAGGCTCCCTTTTCCTTCTACCGGCTTTGGGTAACCCTAACCCAACGTTCAAACAATTGTTTTGCGTTCGGTCAGATGTAAGTAAACCAAAATCTAAACCTAAATTGTCATTATTCTGCTAGTATTTTATAGAAAATAATTATTTTGGTGTTATCTACATTGTGTCTCGTTCTTGTAATTCTTTTGACTCCAGTTTTTTCACTACTTCAAATGTACCAAACTGGTTAGTGAACAAACAGAATATTGAACATCCCTGTAAAAAGTTTGATTTTGAGTCTTGACTCGACCGCAAAACTCAACCAATTAGTTCCTCGAATATGTTTGATCAACATTGCTTTGCCTTTATTTACTTATGTTAATTGCTTTGGTATTTATTCTTGCTTTCTGTTGTTATTTTGCTCAGAATCTTTTGTATTCCTGTAAGCTTGCTGTCTCCAGTTTTGTTTTCACTACCTCATAAAACTGATTTATTTTCTAGGTTATGTTTACTTGCTCCCGTAACAGCCCGGTATTATGACAGTTCACTGCCACTGCCACCTGGATTTTACTCTAAACTCTCGTTTATAAAACCAGCGTTAGTTTTGACGCGTTTTTGTTGGTGAAACCAGATTTCCTTAACTGTGGTTTAAATCATCGGTTAGTTTTAACCGAAGTTTAACTAAACCATCGTTAGCGAGAATTTGGTGAAATCGGGCCTAAGGAAGATATCTTACAATTAATTATCATCAACTATAATAATTTCTTCATAAAACATTTAGAGCCTTAAACCAGCAATGCCTCCCATCATGGTTCCTGTTCTGACGACGGTGTTAGGTGCGGCTGCGCGGTTCCTTTGGTTTTTGATTTTGGAGCAGGTATGGGGAGTAGATTGAGTTTTGAGAGTATTCGTTGCAAGTGTTGTATTTTGTTACAAATTGTTGTATCCAATGGAAAAGAAACATGGTCAAAAAATGAACAATATTTTCTCAGTTTTGAAATCAAGGATGCATTATCCTTATCAAGTCAGATGAACAATTATATTGAACCTGAAGAAACGTTAACGACCGCCTCTTATCCAACTACTCCTCCAAGTTAGTCAAAGCTATTAGTCTTGGCGCGTGGAGTAGCGGGGAGTGTTTATTGGTAATTTCAAAAGACATCTGGCCTACACAGCTCGAGGGTGGATCAGCTCTTCATGGCCAGGAGAGGTGGACGGGGGATGGCTAGTAGTGAAGGAACCGCCCAGACAGATTGCTCTTACTGTACTGAGACATCCTTTGCAACATCAACAACAACTATCAAAATGAACCCTTGTTCCTACAACTTCGATTAAGTCTAGCGTTCTGCTTGGCGTGGATGCCATGTGCAGTTATAAAAAGTAGTCCAGTGAAAGAAGTGTAAATAGTTGTACACACTACTATAAGAAGAAGGGGAAGATCAGAAGGGAAAGAATCAGAATTCATAGCAATAGTCCAAGCATTAGTAGTGATCTTTTTTTAAGAAAATAAAAATCCAAGGCAAGATAATAACGTATTTTATTAAAACTAGAGTACCTGTTCGCTCGAAATCAAGCAATTGTCAAGTACCTGTATTACAGGAAAACTAATAACAGTCATAATTTTTGATGAGATTCAACTAAAAGCTTATGTAATTAATCGAAATACTCACACTCTGTTCATAACAGTTCGATATAACAAACATTTCTTGTAAATGTTATATAATTTTTCGAAAGCTGGCCTTGATTTAGTGTTTTCTAGAAATGTTTCCTGACTTACCCATAGCCCCATATTGTTGTCCATGTTTATCTTCATCAATGATACTGTAGCTTACATGGTACCACCATTGTTACCAATATGTTTACAAAATGCAGTCTTTTTTTATATAGCATTAAAATTGTCCAAGTACTACCCGACTTCCTGCATTATCTGTCTGTCACAATTTTATTTACTTAGAATATAAAAAAAATGTTTCGGTGAAATATATCAAACTGCCTCGGGTATATCACAAATATATGATTGTGATTAGGGCTACTACTATATAAATAATTGAAAACATTAGTACCCTTTTAAATTCATTTTTAATTAATAAACGACATGTTTCGACACTTAGGTCATAGCATAGACTAACCGGAGTAGGTTTTGTTTTATCTATGGTCATAGTCATGTTTACATTTACAAATACAATAACAAAAATAATGAAAGGAATAAATAGTCATATGTTAAGTTAACTTAGAATTTAGAGGATCTTGATTTAATCTTTGTTTAATTTTGCTTATATTATATAATATTTCAGTTTTATATAATATTAGGGATCCTGTTTAGTCCTTTCTGTCTCACGCAAGTGCATACACTCACATAAAATGCCTTATCGCCTACAATGAAACCAAATTTTGCAGAGCACCTAATCGAAACTCGACATGAGTACAAAAATATAAATGAAAATTTAGAAATACTAGAATATGAAATAAATAAAACAAAATTAAATGTCAAAGAAGATTTTCATATATACACAAATTACAAAAAAATACCCTCAAAATTTATTGAATACCATGAATATAAATAAAACAAATCCGATATTTGAAAAAATCCTACAGTTGCAATAAAACTGAAATATTATATAATATACGCAAAATTAAACAAAGATTAAATCAAGATCCTCTAAATTCTAAGTTAACTTAACATATGACTTATTCCTTTCATTATTTTTGTTATTGTATTTGTAAATGTAAACATGACTATGACCAAATAAGTGTCGAAACATGTCGTTTATTAATTAAAAATGAATTTAAAGGGTACTAATGTTTTTATAATGTTTTCAATTATTATTATTCCGGCCAACCGTACCGATCCTTAGGCCTGAGGAGAAAATTACAGCATTAATGGTTCTTTGGAGGGTACCTATTGAATTTTTCTAAAATTGAATGCAAACTGAGATTAATATTTTTTCGTTAATTTTAAAGGTAAATAAATCATTGTTGTTTTAATATAAAAAAAACTTATGATTAACTTGATCCTGCAGATAGTTGTAAACTAATCAAAAGATTAGTTAATAAATAACTTTTGTTTTCTGATGTGAGGGTGGTAACAATGTCATGTCTAGCACGCATGCGCCCCTTATCACTCTGATCAGTGCCGAGCCCGACCCAGCATAGTGGCAGTGCAGTGGCAATACGATGCGTACCCCTTGGGCGCTCGTCAACGTCAACATCCCTACAGCCTACTCCCGTATAACCAATGTTCGTTACCAATTTTGTAACGAAATTGATGCGTAATTCTGAAAATATAGTTTAAATTTCATAACATTTATTTCTTCTTATGAACTTCAGAATCACAATGCTTTGGAGTTTTTTTTATCAACTATGACTATTTATTTTTATTTTTAGATAGCCTAGGTATAAAAAAAATACTCTCGGCCGTGCACCCTCTGGGACCTTGCACCCATAGGCCCGGGCCTACTGGGCCTATTGGGAAATCCGGCCCTGAGGGGAGCGCCAAGTAGTTGCGGCCTACGCAACTACACGGCGCTCCCAGCGCTAGAATATTGACATAGTCCATAACCAATATTTCGTAAATACACAAATACCATTAGCTGCTTCCAAACAAAAACAGCTGTTACAACACCACTTGCGACGTTGCCAGTTCGAAGGCCGCGGCCTGGAGTTAAAGGCGACCGTGCTACAGGCCACGGGGCCACGACCTGGTAGAATCGGCAACGTCGCAAGTGGTGTTGTTTAGTGACAGACGTCCCATAAGATAACATGGCAGACAGATGACACCAGCTCATCAATTCACACTTTATTAATTTAAATTTATGAATATAAATTTATTAAAATATTGAAAATAAAACATACATAACTGAAAACCGAAACAATATGAATTAAAAATCTATATCTGTACAGTTTTAAGATGATTCAATATTGTAATAGTCCAGTAACCAATCTTTCGTAAATACACAAATAATACCATTGCTTCCAAACAAAACAGCTGTTACAACCACACCACTTGCGACGTTGCCACTTCGAAGGCCGGGACCTGGCTGGAGTTAAAGGCGGCCGTGAACATAGTCAATGGTAATTACCCTCAAGATGTGAGGGTAATTTCTTGGAATTGGATTGGTAACACTGAACACTGAACATCTGTTCTTTCTTATCGTCTGTTGGTTTGTTTATTGTTGTCATTTCGTTCCGTTTATCATTATTATTTTCATTTTCAGAGTAGAGCTTATCAACTAACTTGAAGTTACTGTATTCACATTAGGAAGGAAATCGAATTGATTCAGTTTCTTTATAAAAATTAATAGGGCTTTGGTGCTGGCAGTCAAAGCTAGAGGTTAGCCTGATTGAAACTACCAAAATCAAGGGTAAGTAACTTACCTAAGTTAGCATTAGCCTAGATGAGATTTAAATGATAGCCACTTAACTTCAGGGTAGGCCACTTTTAAATTTCAACTAGCCTATAGGCTATATACAAATCAGTCTACAAAAAGACACCACATAGGCTCATATTGGGTACCTACAGTTTCTAAACTGGGCCATGCTAATATCAATTCAAAAATTAGATTCGATTAGTAAACCTTCATTAGATTTTTTCATTATCAGTAAGTTTGGTTATTTAGGTGGAGGTTATAACAGTTCCATTTTATAATTGATAGAGTTAGAAAGTATAAGTTATTACTAAATAATGGTGTAAATACCTGCATCTATGTGATCAACGTGTTGCTAAAATGCAACCGGTTTTGACTCACAAAGGAGTCATCGTCGGGCCAGTACAGATGTCTTCTTGCTTCATTTGAAGGTCGTCAATTCGTAATAAATAAATACATTTAACACGCACACGTACACGAACATAGAAACGAACATTTAAGGTTAAAAACGAAAGATAATACTATAGCGGTACTTTTAGCAACACGTTGATCACATAGATGCAGGTATTTACACCATTATTTAATATTTAAATGTGATCAGGAGGCTAAAACTCAATATCAATAAGTTATTAATCGAATCAATATTAGTGTAGCCCAGTTAAGAAACTTTACCCATTACAACCTTAACAACAGTTTGGGTATTTATGAGCTTAAGCTAGGCCTAAAACTTACTCATGTGGTTTTAACAAACAATTTTTTATTTGGCTGCATTAGGCATTCATAAGCACTCTTTTCCGTTGGCACTATTGGGACAAACGCTGTTTTCACCGCGTAATTAATGTTTTAAGGCTGCCTTTTTGCCTTATTTAGACATGTGAGGATGGCAGGTCAGGCTCTTGTGCATATAAATTACTTAGGTTTCTATGACTGTGATTAGATTTAGGTTTAAGTTACTAGCCCATGTAACTTAATTTGGTTTCAGGCACTTTTTCTGCAACTCAGGCGAACAAATTAAAATGACCAGTGAAGGGGAGAGTATCTACAACAAACAGTATCCAGAAAATGATGAGTTAAATAACACGGTTTTATTTGGGAAGAAACTCAGGTAGGGCCTACCCTAAGAGCATTAATTTTTTTGTGTCGGCCTAACTTAGGCTAGGTACTTAAGTTACTTTGTAAAATATGATTTAATTAGGCTAGTTAACCCTTAGAGTGCCAGGCGAGAAATAAAAGTAACGCTCAAAAAATGCCGATGATTTTTCCCGAAGGTCGCGCTAAAAATGCCGAGCGCGATCTGGCGATTTTTAGGTTAAAATTTCGTAAAAATCGAATTTTCGATATTTCGACCAACGAAAATCGATGTATCGCATCTAGCAACTTTCGACTCAATGTTAATATATGGGTTAAAAGAATCCGAGTATTTATTCGGTTGTTATGACAGCTGTTCGATCATTACGAAACGTCCGGTCAGCCGGACGTTGGCACTTTTGGCTCGTTCTAAAAACGTCCGGTCGGCCGGACGTTGGCACTTTTGGCTCGTTTTAAAAACGTCCGGTTCCCCGGACGTTGGCACTCAAAGGGTTTTAATTCTTCCCGGACTATAGGCAGATATATCCCCGCTAGCATTTTGTGCATAGCGGACTGTAGGCGTATATATCCGCGTATCTATTTTGGCTCTGGGAACGGTAGGCTAATATATCCCCTGATTATTACGACATCTATTGTTATAGTTGATTGTCTATAAGAAAATTAATTTTCTTAAAAGATCTTTTTGTTCTATTAAATCTTAAACCGATGTAAGTTACAAAGGAATATTTAAAAACAAATTTTAAAAATTGGAAAAAATAAGAAAAGAAAAATAAATATTTTAGACAAAAGTGCTGAAGTATTACTATTTGCTATACTATTTTAGCTGTTTAAATTTTTATCAGGTCATTTGCTAACTAATACACAATTTATTTCCCGATTTTGGTCCCTTGTTCCGGTGTTTATGCCATGTTAATCCTTAGAAAGGGGAGGGGGGGGGTTTCCCGGGTTTCCCCTAACCAAAGGTGGCAACCCTGGTCAGTTGGTAGCAAAAATGTTTTCAAAAAGTTACAGTTTTTGCTTTTAAAATAGATTGTAAATAACACATTGATTTGTTTATAGTCAGGACTCGAGAGTCATTGCTAACCATCAGGATAGCAATCTAGAATTTACACACGTCTAAAACTTATATATTTTTTATATGTTCGAATCTGTTAGTGGTTTGTTTGGTTACTCATATTTAAAAATCTGTGATAAAATACCTAGGTACATAGTGATAGAATACAGCTTAAAATATTTACCTACACATTTTCTTAGTAATTTTTCTGATATTTATTTTAGAATAACACAATCTATACCTTTTTGCAAATGAATTCATAATTTAGCATAATTAATTAGTAACTGGTTGGAGAAAAAGTTTATGAGGTCTATACTCAAGTTTACTTTTATTATCAGGTGTCGGGGGTTTTACACTAATCTTTATGTTTAATGGAAAGAGTCTGATAAGATAACTTGTAGGCCTAGATATATATATATATATATTTTATGTACAGGTTAATCTAAGGCTAAAATATATTTTAAATTATAATCCATATTATCTATTCCTCAGTTCAATAGATGTACCAGAACACCTGTTGGAATACGCAGAAAAACAGAACTTCCACATACAGGGATACAGTTTTGAAGCTAAAGAAGAACAACTAAGGCCTCCAAGGTAGTTGAGGTTTACTGCTTGGTTGTAGATTACAAAACATGTCTCCACATAAATAAAATATCCTATGCCTAGGTATGATTACCTACGTACAGGCCCACTTTTATAAACGGGCAGACTGGGCATATGCCCAGGGGCGCCGAAGGTTTGGGCGCCTCAACCACTGCCCGCACAAGGAAAAAATGGGGGCACTGCTTTTGGGTTTACCCAGGGCTCCACTGACCCTTAACGCGGCCCTGCCTACGTAACCTGTAAAACTTAAGCTCCAAACTATTATCAATACTAACCTTAAACTTATGACCTCATAATTAATTACAGTTTATTTAGCCATTGAAATCTTTTTAATTGAGAGTTTACACACATAATCGGTAGCAAGTTAAACCAGTTACGTTCATGTTAGCTATTACAAGTTTTAAAAATATATATTTAACTGTAAAACCAGTTCAAGGTAAATATTGCAAAATAAGACTTTTTTTCTTTAGGCCCATGTAAAATTTTGTGATGAAATAAATAAGCCTACTCTGATTTGTAAGTAGAATATGTTCTAAAGATAATCTATCTTTTGAACACGCCTACTAATTTTGTTGCATTTCACTCTGTTCTTTCCAAAATTATGTTGGACGACTCAATGAAGTCTGAGAGCTTCAAATGAAAATACTGAGAATATTTTTGTGTATCTATTCGTATAGCCATCTTTTAAATTGATATATGGGACTATTAAATTGTAAATCTAGCTGGCATTAGAAAACATATAGTCAAGTCAAGTCAAGTCAAGTCAATCATTTATTTTCACATAACGTTTTACAGATCCAGCATAGCTGGGAAACAGGTGAAATGGTCATGGACAATTAAAATACATAAAACTATAATAACTATACAATATGCTAAGAAATCAAATATATACATCATTTAAAAAATCATCAACTTTGTAATACCCTTTATTAAGCAGCAATTTGGTAACTTCTTTTTTGTATTTTTCAAAAGATTCTAATGATTTAATATTATCAGGCAGTTTATTATACAGTTTTTTCCCTAGGTATTGTGGAAGGGTTTCTAGTGAGGTAAGTCTATGAATGGGCAGTTGTAAATCATTTCGATGTCGTGTTAAATAATTATGGTATGGTTTTCATTCATAAAATATTCAAGATTTTTTTTAATAAATATTAATGTTTGCAGGATATAAACAGACGGAAGTGTTAATATTTTCAATTCTCTAAATAATAATTTACAGGATTGCCTAGGCTTTGAAAATGTCATAATTCTAAGGATCTTTTTTTGAATTTTGAAAATGGTTTCGGCATTTGAGCAGCTGCCCCAGAACTCTATTCCATACAACATGTTTGACACAAACAAAGCATAATAAACAATCATCCTTGTTCTGAGGTCAGTAACATGCTGCAGGACAGACATCTGGAAACAGACTGTATTTAGTTTATTAGCTAAAACTGATGTGTATTTATCCCAATTTAAAGTGTTTTGTACCTGAATACCTAAAAATTTTGTAGATGACGTTTCATTAATAATTTCCCCTGAAAATTAATATTTAATTTGATGGTTTCTCTGTCATGAGTAGTTTTGAACCTGACAATTTGAGTTTTAGAACAATTTAGACTCAGACCATTTGCTCTGAACCATTTGTTTAAATCTTCAAAAGTTTGGTTTATCAAATTTTGTAAATTGTTAGGGCTGTTTGATTTTAATATAGCTGTTGTGTCATCTGCGTATAGAACAAGCTTTGAGTTTATGTTAAAAGGCAGGTCATTAATATAGATTAAAAACAACAAGGGTCCCAATATAGAGCCCTGAGGTACACCACAATAGATCATTTTCCATTTTGAAAAGTTATAGATGTTATCTTTAAAAATAATAGTTCTTTGAAAGCGGTTTGTAAGATAGGATTTCAAAAACTTCAAAGCAATTGGAGAAAAATTGTAAAATTTAAGTTTATATACTTAGGCCATTGCCTACAGATTACAGTTTTGTTGTAATATACAATGGTATGTATTTTATAGGGTTGTTCGAGTTGGGGTTATCCAGAACTGTATTGTGGCTGACACGTCAGAGCCGGTCGCCACTCAAAGAGATGCGATACACAACCTCATTGCCAAAATAATCCACTCGGCTGCCGAGTGTAAGGTCAATGTCCTCTGTCTACAGGAAGCATGGAGTAAGTCTAGTGTAGTGAACCAAATTACCAATATAACACTTTCCAAGGAAGGATTGGGAAGTAACATCTTGTTTGTGTTATGTATTTGTTGTAGTAAATCTGTGTATTGCCACTATATCAAGCAGTTACAGCCATTATTGATCAGCGTTCAGAAATCAAGCATTTGAAGCAAACCAGCATTGCTAAACTGAGTGTCTGCCGTATTAATTTTGAGCTCATCAATTGATGAGCTGAACAAATTATTCCACTGAATCTTTTTTGGTATGTGTCAAGTCACACCATTGGAATTTTAACACTTCACCATAAACAGTACTTGGTGATGACTAATAGGAGTGTTTGATAAAAGTAGTAGGTTGGTTATATTTCAAGCACCATAAAAAATTAATGTTGAAGCAACATAATTTTACAGCAATGCCATTTGCTTTCTGCACCAGAGAGAAACTTCCGTGGCTGGAATTTGCTGAATCAGCAGAACGAGGACCAACGACACGATTCCTTCAGAAAGTAAGCTTAGTATAAATAGTACTCTCTATCTTCACACTTTCACTAATACTTAGTATTGCACTGTATTTAAAATCAGCTTATAGTATTTAATTTCAATTTATTAGCAAATTTCCCTATAGTGAAGAAGCTATTACCGTAGGTAGAGCAACAAGACCTAGACCCGGGACCAATTTACTTTTTTATTTTGATGTCCCCATAAGTAAAATACCCCCGCCGCAGCAAACCTGCAGACTAAGCGAATTTCCATTTGACTGATTGGATTTACACTGAAATGTCTACTTAAAAATATAACATTTATTCTTGATTTAAATAGAATAAGTTTAACAAGTACTTAGGTTTGCTGCATCAGGGAGGGTAAAACTGATTTTTTTTGTAAAATGTGAATAGTTAGTAAGAAATAAAAACATTTTCCAAATTTGATCAAAATATGTTCACAAAAAAGCAAACTACAACAGTTTACTTATTCTCCATAAGAATAACATGGGAATTTTAAATTTACAATTTTTTGGAATTTTCTCCGTAACCATTAGGCGCATAATAACGCTTCAATATACTAAATTATTTGTTTTTTTAAGCTCTACAAAATGGTTTGGAAAGAAATTGCTAAATTTTATGTTTTTTGGGTCAAAAATTAGAAAAACCTATTTTTACCCCATAAAACCCCCCGTAAACCCCCGTTCCCAAGGTCCGATCATGCTGGATTGCGAACTCGTTCGAATAAACGTACTTTTACACATTTGTACCAATTTTCATCAAAATCGGATCATTTTTGCTCGAGTTATCGTGCTGACGGACACATATATATATATATATATATATGAATATATAAATATATAAATATATAAATATATATATATATATGAATTTGAACGGATGGTGTTTTTGGCCTCTAGGGACCTCAAAACGAAAAAAAAAATTGGTCCCGCGTCCAGGTCTTACCATGAGTACTACGGTAATAGCTTATTCCCTATATGGGAAATTCGCTAAAAGCACTATTTGTGAATGTAATAACTCGAGTTATCTTTGTCCGATTTTATTTTGCATGAATGTGTAGGGCTGGAATAGCCTAATCTTGACTCGAATGATAACTTGTCATTCAATAAAAATTGAGGATTTTCTTTTCGTACTAGTGGCGAATAGTGAATATATTTTTGGGATGCGTCAAGATTAGCGTAAGGTTAGGATAAGTAGTTTTAAGTAGACACCTGTACCATACTCTATCTCAGTTTGGCTGCTCATATTCAAAGGGTAATTTGTGCTGAATGCTACTTTTACTTTATAGAGATCACAATTTTTTATTGTTTACATTGAGTCAAAAAAATATAGCTATTACGATACTAATTTTTTCTTCATATTCATTATTTCCCCCCTCCCTAAAAATTGGATCAAATTATGTTTTAAGTTTGCCAAAGAGTTCAATATGGTGATTGTGTCACCGATTCTGGAGCGAGAAGAAAACACTGATTTGATCTGGAACACGGCAGTGATAATTGATAACCATGGAATCGTAAAGGGAAAACATCGCAAGAATCACATTCCCAGGGTTGGCGACTTCAATGAGTCTACATATTACATGGAAGGAAACACTGGCCATCCCGTCTTTAAGGTGAGCACTAGGCTTTTCTGTAAAGGGCACTTGTCAAATTAATACATTAACAAGAGATTTAATTAGTTTAAAAACTGTTAAATGCACCTAGCCTAATCAAAATGAAATATGAACAAGTCTAAAGAGCTGACCAGTAGCAAAATTCTGAGATAAAACATTTGATTACAGTGTCAATAAAAATTCAAAACTGTTTTTGTAAAACTTTTGCGAAACAGTATTATTTTATTTTACCTGCATTTCATCTTAAGTTAATTTTAGAATTATCTATCTATATAGGTACTTAATACAGTTCGGTAAGAGTCTCTCTAATATTCCTTTTTCACCGTCCTACTTAACGGATATTTACGATTGAGGTTTCATTTTAAAGCTTATTATCTAGCGCAGGGACGAATAGTAAGTAAAAAGGTAATTTTCTTTAGGGCTTCGTCTTCCCCAGCACAGAACACATGTTTTATATGTTTTATTTATTTCTAGAGGATGCTTTTAAAAGTCCAGGTGCTGCTGACCTACGTATTATTAATTACCTTATTACCTTCAGTCAAGTTTTTAATCACAGTCAATGAAAATCATCATACAGTTGTAAACAAGTGAAGAAATAGTTTATAAACTGTAAAACCACAACACTCGGATTTGAGAAGTAAATATTCGTTTGTTTTGATTAATTTAATTCACATGTTTCAGCTGATCAAATTAACGTAAATAAACATTTCAAGTTTAAATTACTTGCTAAATGATATAATAAATCTTTAATGAAAAACGATTGAAAAATTAGTGATTTGTATCTTTTTTGGGTATAGTGGGCAAAAAAGCTTTAAAATGACACCTCATTTATGGAAATTGGCAATGAATTAAGGAAGTTATGGCGTACCAACAAAAAAAGTACTTAAGAAATTAATTGAGGCTATATAATATAGAATAATGCGTAATTAGCGCACGACCCCCTTGTTGTGATTAATTGTCTTTTCTGTAAAATCATAACTTTTTCTACAAATTATGTTTGGATATATCAATTAAATCCTTAGGATTGATTTAAAACAAAGTAATAAAGGTTTTAATACATTCTCACAGTTTATTATGCTACGCATGAAAATTGTTTTCAATTTGAAATTCAAAGATACAATCAAATTTGAGATTTTAGTTATCAGATATGATCATTAAGCCTACTCAGCTTCTCTTAGTCTTGTGTTTGCAGACAGAGTTTGGTAATATTGCAGTGAACATCTGCTATGGCCGTCATCACCCTCTCAACTGGCTCATGTTTGGTCTGAACGGAGCTGAGATTGTGTTTAACCCATCTGCTACGGTTGGCGGGCTTAGGTAAGTCAAAAACATTAGATATGTTTTAGGGATGAGAATTAAAATTGGCGCAATACAAAAATCTTAATATCTTGTTTTCCTTGTTCAAGAGAGTAATTATACTATTTGTAAACTAATGTATAGTAGCATTACTCATTATTACTAAATTATATATAATTATTGTTTTAATAATTTTAGAAAAATGTGATACCGGTACCATAATAACTCTGGTTTCCCAGAGACTCAAGTAATGAAAACTTCTCTTCTATTGAAGACATTAATTTTACAATCATGGTTGCTCAGTGGAAGCATTTTGGTTTTCGCTTTAAACGAGGAGATTGAGGCCATTGGTTCTTCTATGTGTATTTTACTGTTATGGTACTTCACTGCATTTAGATTACTGAACGGGCCAATACCTCTATAGTGACGCCCACAAAAGTGATTTGACACCTAGTTAAATTGCACTCAAAATAATTAAAGTTAAACCTTGCATACTTCCAAAACTTTTCTTTTGCAATCTCAATTTCGTTTTAACATTCAAACAATAAATCCCTCACTGTATGATTCTAAACAAAAACATATTTCATTCTGCTTTTTGAATGGAAGGGGGCATATTTGCCTTAAATATGAGTATGACTCTTTCCCTAAAAATGCTACTGGAAGAGCCACTAAAAAGAGAGATTGCCAAATTGAAGGGTAACCTGAATGATTGCAGTGAGCCGTTGTGGAGTTTGGAAGCTCGGACAGCAGCCATTGCCAACAACTACTACACCTGCGCCATCAACAGAGTAGGTACAGAGACATTCCCTCACGAGTTCACCTCGGGAGATGGGAATCCTGCTCACAACAGCTTTGGTCACTTCTACGGCTCCAGCTACATCACTGCTCCTGACGGCTCTCGAACCCCGGTAGGCAGCTTTAGAAAATATCTTTCATTTGGTACCAACCGCGTGTCATTCCGGCTAGTAGTATGGTCAGGCTAGCTGTCAGGTTTTGCAAAAGCTTTTTAATATATCAAATCAAATCAATTTATTGTTGTGTAGACATTTCACAATGCATTAACAATCGTCACAAAATACATAATGCTGTTATTAATACAGCAAATGAATACTTACATCTAATCAATCAATATAATAAGATCTAGTATACAAGATTATCTTGGTTTTTGTAATATGTGTATTGGATCTAAATGGCAGTAAAAGCTCTGTGCAAGCAAGTAAAATAATCTGTGTCAAAAGGAGTCTTTTTAGGCCTTAGTATCTCAGTATCTTTAAAGTCGGTCTGAAGATGGCGACCATAGAGTGCCTAAATACCGCCAATTATATTATTATATAATACCGGCATATAATTTGTTGGAGACAGTTACCCAGATAGCAGAGAAAGCTTTCAGTTAGTTCATAATAAACTTTCAGAGGCAACCCAAGATGGTTGCAGCAACTATGCATTGCAAACATTTTAATTTGTAACACGTTTGCTGCAAGTATAAAAGTAACCCCATCTCAGACTTTCTGAAAAGTTTCACCGTGTGTTTGAAGCAAGGTTGCAAGGAATAGTTGCGAACCACTTGCAGGGAATGATTGCAGATGACTTGCAAAGATACCGTGCTGCAAACATACAATGGATGTTTTTATCAGGCTACCAAAGAATGCTTGTTAAACACTTGCATTGAATGAATGCAGATGACTTGCAAAGATATCTTGCTGCAAACATGCACTGAATGTTTTACTCAAGCTAGCAAAGAATGCTTGTAAAACACGTGCAGGGAATGAATGCAGATTACTTGCAAAGAAATCTTGCTCCAATGATGCACTGCATGTTTTTCTCGAGTTAGCAAAGAATGCTTGTAAAACACTTGCAAGTAATCTTTGTACATGACTTGCAAAGAGTACTTGCTGCAATTATGCTCTGGGTTTATTTCTCAGATTAGAAAATAATGTTAGTCAAACATTTACAGGGAATCCTTCTGCTTCGCATTTGCTTTTCAATGACGTGTACGAAGATGAATTGCAAAGATAATTTACTATAAATATGCACTGAATGTTGAATATAAATATGAAAAGAATGTTTGTTAGATAATTACAGGAAATCTTTGTAGCTGATTTGCTAACTGCTACCAATGTGCACTAAATCTCATTGTTGAATTTAGCAAAGAATTCTTCTTGTGAATGTATAAAATATCTTCAACCTTAGCTAAATTTAATCATCATAATTTTTTTCTATAAATGTAATAGCAAAAATTTAGTTTTCAAAAGTTATTGACTAGTATCTTATTAATTATTTTATTATTATATTAAAAGAAAAAATACATTTTACATAAGCCAAAATTTGTTTAAGACAGCAGAAAATACTAAAATAAGCATTCCTTTATCATAAAAAGTTTATTTAAGAATTCAAAAGCTATAATTTCTTCTCAAAATAGTCTTAACAACATAACATGTAGAATACAATTATAAAACAGAGAAAATTAATTAACGGAGGTTGAGCTAAGAGTGTATACTTGGAGCTGTTTACTCTTAAAATACAATACAAGTTTGTATAAATATGGGTACTAAAATCGTTGGTTATTAGTTGTAGAAACCATTTTAGTAGAGTGTTTTTACTTGGTATGCCACTATTTATAAGGGCAGTCAAAGAACTAAAAACTACACATTACATTAAAAAGATTGTGTATGGAAAAACATAAAATGTAATATTGTAAACAAAAATGTACGGGGTTTATTTAGGTTTTTTTTCACAACACAAGAGAACATTTAACTGTTCTGAAGTTACAATTATTTCAAATTTGGTGTGATTTTCATAATACTGCAAATATGCATGAGTAAAATTCATCTTAAAAAGTATGTAAAAATATGTCAAAGATCGTGCATACTGACTGATGGATATATGACCATTATTACAATCAAAAATGTTTGTGAAAAAACTCTGAATATGTTGGACAGGCAATAAATTCACAGATTTTTTAAAAATAAATATATTTTGGGGAACTTCAATAAAGAATAAATTATAAAAAATTTAACCATAAAAAATATTAATTACTAAGGTGTTTGTCCAGCCAAGGGTGCTCACAAGGGCAATGTTTATCCTCCAGTGCTAGCTTTGATTCCCTGAAACAGCAATACAACAATTACAATAAAATACTGTAATGTTCAAAAGTTTTAACTTTTCTGGCTCAAAATATGTTGTATTTTATCAAAACTGCCAAACAAAAATCTTATTACGTGAAAAAATTAAAAAGAAAGTCATGAGAATTTAACATAGGACCTTATGAGGTGCCACGTTGGAAACATATTAACAAAAAAACCTTAACATAGGCATAAGTTATATAATGTAATGTATGTCTATCTGCAGTCACGTTTTTGGGTACTTTCCTTTTAAAGGGGACATTCATGGTTATCGATGATTACTTTACGATTTATCGATATTTTGGGCTTCCTTTACTATCCATATTCCTTCGCTTCTGTTTGATTTATTCAAACGCATTTAAACTACGAATTGAGAACTGCTTATTTGGATTAAAAAATGAAACTATATTTCAAACTAACCCAACATACTATTGCTGTAGGCTAAGTTTAAGTTACCATTTAAAAAATCCATTTAATAAGATAAAAGGCATGTGGGAAATGGAATAGGTTACCTATCAAACGGAATTTTGAAATTTTACAGCAAGTTTTGATAAGTTAGGATAGTTTAGAACAGTTTTATTCCAACATTTTTTAATGTTTGTTGATACTGAACAATATTTTTTATCGTAGTTGTCCGCTAATATTTTTCAATTTGTCAATATCTATATATATCATGGAATAAAAAAAATCAATAGCCTATATCGAAAATAAATCATCGATTATAATGTACGTTCCCTTGAACAGAAGAGGACCAATTCTTACAGATATTTCACTAAATAATTTATAAATAGAAAACTATTTTAAATACCACTTTTTTAAACGAATGAAGAAGTTAAAAATAATTTATAAGTATGTGGAGAGAATAAATACTTGTAAGATTTAAAACTAAAAATGCTGGACGCATGCAATAATATCTAATTTACAATTATCTTAAACTACAAATAAATAGCTATTGAACTTTTGTTATCTACTGCATGCACCCGCGTTTTTCGTTTTAAACGTTACAAGTACTTCTCTCCACACATTTATAAATAATTATTTGCTACTTTTTAGTTCGTTTGAAAACGTGGCATTTTAAAAAGTTTTTTTTTTTATTCTGGCCTATAAATTATTTTCTACTTTCTAGTTTTTAATGTAAATATATTGAATTTGTTTTATAAGGCCAATACATAACCAACCCCTTCAACTCTAATTCGATGTTTTTGCTATTCTCATAGTCATAAACTTTAGAATATTCCGGCAGCAGAAACTTTACCTCTCAACCTCTACTCTTTAAACAAACTGTCAAATGAATCTATTTACTTACTTACTCTTACTCTTACTCCCAGGGCCATTTATATCGGAGGTGATATTTGGCCGCACCAACAAATCTTCGCCAAGTTAACCGGTCTTTCGCATCATCCTCCGTTGCCCCAATTCTCTCCAAATCTTCTTGCACTTGCTTCCACCACCTCTGCTTAGGTCTTCCCCGGGGTCGTCTTCCTGTAGTGTTTCCCTTTAAAACTCTTCCCAGTCTACAATCTTCATCTCTTCTTAATATATGACCAGCCCATCTGATTCTTCGGCACTTGATTTCTCCAATTACATCTGTGCTATTATACAGTTGCCTTAATTCCCTATTGTGTCTTATTCTCCATTCTCCTAGCTCGAATATTGGTCCAAAAATCTTCCTTAAAATTTTATTTTCGAATACTATTAGTTTCTTTTCATCTCTTTTATTTAATTTCCAGGTTTCTGATCCATATAGGAGAACTGGGCAAATTATTGTTTTGTACAACCTGATTTTTGTTTTCCGGGACAAAGATTTTGATGAAAGTAATTTATTGCAAGCATGAAAACATTTATTTGCTGAATTTATTCGGCTTTGGATTTCTAGTTCATCAGTATTTTGGTTGGATATAATTACTCCTAGGTATTTAAAACTGTTGACTTTTTCAAATGTATGGCCATCAATTTCTATTGATTCTTCAGTATTATCCAGGTATCTTGAAAAGTGCATGTACTTAGTTTTTGAATCGTTTGTTTTTAGGCCTACTTTTTCTGTTTCTTTCATAAATACTTCGGTTAAGGCCTTCAGATCTTCTAGTTTTTCTGTGATTATAACCACACTATTTACAGCTTACTTAAATTGATATATTTACATTCTTCCAAAATGTAAACATTAAAAATTCGGTGGCCCATGTGGCGTAGTCCAAGGGAAATATGAAAATAAAATCATTGAATATGATGCCAAAGATTACACATGCTACGCAAAACCATCGATAATAGAGATCGATGCGCAAAACACACCCTTATCATTGCATTGTTATCCATTTGTGAGCTATGTTTCAAGTTTCAACTCTCTAGCTCATCAGGAACAGGAAGATTGTTTAAAATTGATTGCAAAATTTGTACCGTACAAGAAAACGAGCTAGTAAACATTTTAAAATTGCTGCATAGAGAAAGATAATGGGTCAAGTTTAAAACAAAAGCAATTAGTTGAATACAAATCTCTATACTGTATAAAATGATTCCACATTTTATGCATCATATTCACGCCAAATTTTGAGGGTTGGGTTCTATCTCAAGGATCAGTTTATTTATGTTTTATTGGTCCATTCAAGGCATAAAAATGAGTAGGGCCTAGCTTAATTTATATTGCAATCTTTAAATGAATGTCTCTTTAGTAGACAGTTATAATAATCTAATTAGGCCAATAAAAATAAAGGGGAATCCGTACAATTATTTTTCGTCATACTGCAGCAAAACACCTGTTTTTAACGCATGCGTTGCTGGTCTAAAGTAGC